ACATTATCTAGCTTAATCTTCATGACAACTCTATGAGGTTGACATTTACTATTGTCTCAAAACCAAGGACCTTCAAGCTTAAGACAGGTTAAATGACTTGTAACATGGCCAGCGAATGGTGAGCTGTGATTCTATCCCAGGTCTTTCATTCCAAAACTCATAACATATAATGTTAATAAACTAAAGTTTTGAAGCTATACAACAATCTCTATGAGAAATTTTACTAAGATATTTTTAATGTAGTAGAAATGCTTAAGTTTAGTTTTGTTAACTTGGTTATGAAATTTGCCGCACATTCCCATTTAATCTAACTAGTGTACAATACGTATGGTTATACTTTCCCCTTTTATAATCATCTCCCTTTAAAATTTGTGTTTTGCCTTAGTAATTCTCATATCAATGGATTTTACTTCTTTTTTGTCAGTAATGAATTTTCTGAGATTGCAGGAAATACTTTAGCCCCTTTATAGCAATAAATCTTACCCATACTTGGACATCTTACTTCCTTGGATACTTAAGATTTTTTTAATCTCTTCATTTTTGTATTACTAGTAATGCTGAATATTACACAGTTGTGTGAAAGGGGATAGTGCTTCTTTATCTAATTTATAAAATTTAAATTTTAGAAAAGCCACAGAGCACTATGTAATACGATCTTGTATATCTCGTGTGTAAAATAAACAATACATATTTGATGTCTGTATCCTAGATATTTATAGATTATATCTGGAAAGAGATAAAAGAAGCCCCTAAACCTGTAGCTGTGAGAGCCAGGATAAGTGAGGAGGGACCATATACCTTTCTTTTCTGTCTTTTTTTTTTAGTTTCTCTTTTCAGTCTTTTTGTACTCTCACCTTTGTCTTTGTTTTTCTTCACTCTTTGTTTTTTGGATTTTAAAAAAACAATCTGTTGTGTCTCTCTCCACATCCTTCTCCAAGCTCATGTAAATGTACAGATATATATATAAGGAGCTTTGGGGGCATATCAGTCATTACTTGTAAGTATGTATGTATTTATTTATAATCCTCACCTGAAGATATATTTATTGAAAGGAAAGGGGAGGGAGAGAGAATTGACCAGTTATCTCCTGTAGGTGCCCTGACTGGGAATCGAACCTCCTGCCTGTTGGTGTCCCAGACAATACTCCAACCAACTGAGCCACCTGGCCAGGGCTGGGTGTCATTACTTTTATAAAAATAGGATTACACTAGAACTATCTCCTTGGAACTTGGTTTTCTCACTATGGACGTCTGTTTCTGCAGATACGGTAGTTGTTTCTTTTTAATAGCTGTGTACTCTACATATCATAATGTAATGGGCTCCTTATTGGTGGAATTGTTGACTTTATTTTTCACTATAACAAATAATACTGCAGTGAATATCCCTATACATTTATCTTTGTGCATTTGTATATACATCTGTAGGATATGAATCAAGGATTCTGTGTGTTAAAATTTTTGAATCATCTGTTGTAAAGGCTATGCCACTTCAGTAGCAATGTGCACAATAACTTAAATCCTCATCTAAATGTTATTCTTCTCCAAAAGGAACCTCGTAGAATGACTGGCTCCAGATCTGTGACCAGTGAAGGATAAAGTGAGCCTAGGACATCTTGTGCCAAAAGACACATGGAATCTTCACTGGGGTCCTGTCAAAAGGATGCAAAGAGCCTGCTGGAAGATTTTCTACTGGCCAAATTTAGGACAGTTTGAAAGCCAAATACATAATAATAATTAGACTATATAGGATTTTTTTTAAATGAATGAGTCTTTGTGGTACTAAGTGAAAGATGGTAGAGGGAGAGAAAAAAACTTTTTAAAAGAAGAATACTAGCTAATAAATGTAGAAAGAATAAAAGTGTTAAAAAACACATTTTGCAATCTCCTACGTAGTATATAAAATAAAAGTCAGGCATGGATCCTCATGGGCCTGTGGCCCAAATGAAAGAACAGATCAAAACTCCAAAAATGAAACTTAAGTGATGAAGATCAATAGTCAACCTACCAGATGCAGAGTGCAAAACACTGGTAATCAGGATGCTCACAAAAATGGTTGAGTATGGTCACAAAATAGAAGAAGTGAAAGCTATGCAAAGTGAAATCGAGAAAAATATACAGGGAAACAACAGTGAAGGGAAGGAAACTGGGACTCAAATCAATGATTTGGAGCAGAAGAAATAAATAAACATTCAACCAGAACAAAAGAGAAATAAGAATTCAAAAGAATGGGGAAAGGTTTAGGAACCTCTGGGACAACTTTAAATGTTCCAATATCTGAATAATAGGGTGCCAGAAGGAGAAGAGAAAGAGCAAGAAATTGAAAACTTAACTTGAAAAAATAATGAAAGAAAACTTCCCAATCTGGCAAAGGAAACAAGACTTCCAGAAAGTCCAGGAAGCTCAGAGAGTCTCTAAATTAAAGTTAGACCCAAGGAAGCACACACCAAGGCATATCATAATTACATTACCCAAGACTAAAGCTATGGAGAGAATCTTAAAAGCAGCAAGAGAAAAGGAGACAGTTACCTACAAAGGAGTTCCCATAAGACTGTCAGCTGATTTCTCAAAAGAAACCTTGCAAGCAGGAAGGGACTGGAAAGAAGTATTTGAAGTCATAAAAGGCAAGGACCTACATCCAAGATTACTCTATCCAGCAAAGCTATCATTTAGAGTGAAAGGGCAGATAAAATGCTTCCCAGACAAGGTCAAGTTAAAGGAGTTCGTCATCACCAAGCTCTTATGATATGAAATGTTAAAGGGACTTATCCAGGAAAAAAAAGATGATCAAAACTATGAACAGTAAAATGACAACAAACTCAAAACTATCAACAACTGAACCTAAAACAAAGCAAAACAAAAGCTAAGTAAACAATAGAACAGGAACAGAATCACAGAAATAGAGATCACTTGGAGGGATATCAGCAGGGAAGGAGAAGGGGGGAAAAGGGAGAAAAGCTACAGGGAATTAGAAGCATAAATGGTAGGTACAAAGTAGGGAGAGGTTAAGAATAGTGTAGGAAATGGAGAAACCAAAGAACTTATGTGTATGACACATAGACACAAATTAAGTGGGAGAATGCTGGGGGGAGGAGTGGTGCAGGGCAAGGGGAATGAAGGGTGGAAAATGGGACAACTGTAATAGCATAATCAATAATATATACTTTAAACCATTCACAAAGAGAAAAAGTATATGCCTTTACATTAGAGAATCCTGCAGTTAATATGTAACCAAATGATCAAACTTGGGATCACTAATAGGGGTACATCCTAACATTATGTGCTATTTTATTGGCTGCAGTAAGAATTATTCTTCTAAAAAATGTTTAAACCTAATCAGCCCTCAAATTATCCACAGGATCACTGCCCTCTGTAGTTAGAGTTGTTGATGATTCTACTATATGACCTTAGGTATGCTATATTAGTAATTTCTCTGAGTCTGAGAAGCCTCATTTATAAAATTGATATTGAATCAGATAAATGCATAAAGATAATCTAAATATACTTTGTTTAATTTGTATAATTTGTTGTTATTAACAAAACAAAAATAATTTAGTGTATGGTAAAAATTTAACATGTTGACTCATCTCTGCCATCAGAATCCATTCATGGCCGCCAAGTATGTAGCTGAATGAAAACTACAAATCTGTTTTTTTCCCCACAAATAATATCTTTATATAATTCTGAGTAATTTGATGTCATTTTAAAAGAATTCCCTGCACTCGCTTAGATCTATAAGCTAATGAAGCTCCTGCTATGTCAGAAAGCCTTCTAAACCCCACATGTTCAAGGGAGTTTTTAGACAGGAGAGCATGCATTAGAGTATTTTTGTACTGATTAAAAATTTAGATTGTCTTATATGAAATCACCCATTTTATAGATCAAAATGGTCAAATATCAGCAGTTTGATGGGGCTCAGCCTAATCCATACTTTAGTGGCAGATGCTTAGTCCATCATCTTCATTTGCCAAGCAGTGTTTTTCTCCCTTTTGTTTTAGAGAAAGATTTGCTCAGAGGAGGCAGGAGGAAGGATATGGAGTGATCTAGGTTTGAAGGGAATCATGATGTGGCCTGGTGTTCTACGTGATTATCTTAGAATTTTCATCATTTCATACTCTCCACTCTGAGCCCCACGTACAATAGTTGCTCTTTTCAGCCCTTTCTTACCTCTTGTCTCTTCTTTTCCCAGGTAGTAGGAAATAAGGCAGAAGAAAAGAACATGCTTTTAGCTCTTCTTTTTCCTCACTTTAAACTCTGGATTAGTCTTTTAGAATAGGCATTTACAGAATCTTCAAAACATGAGAGTTCTCTGATTATTTTCCAAAGGGAGCACTTGAAAATAATAATGTACTTCCCTAGCTGGTGTGGCTCAGTGGATTGGGCGTCAGCCTGCAAACTACGGGGTCACTGGTTTGATTCCTACTCAGGGCAAGTGCCTGGGTTGCAGGCCACGTTCCCAGTGTGGGGTGTGCAGGAGGCAGCCACACATTGATGTGTCCTTCCATCTTTTTCTCTCTTCCTTCCCATCTCTCTAAAAATAAAAATAAGTAAAAAATCTTAAAAAAAAGAATTGCTTCCCTTTTAAAAAATAATGTATATATTTTTTAACCATAGTTACTCATAGAATATGGAAGGTAGAGCAGGTTAAGGGATTTCAAGTGTATTTTCTCTTATAGACCATAAGCAATGAAGTAACAGCTCCTAAGGGATTGGAAAGGAGTGTTTCAGGCTGTAAAGGGAGTACCTATAACATCATAGCAAGGATCCTCCCTGGGATGGCTCTTATGACAAGGGCCGTAAGTGTATCTCCATAAGAAAGGGACTTCCTCAAATAATGTGTTCTAAGCAAATGTGTCCAGTTTCAGTATTTCCTCAAACAAGAAAATATAAATTCATATGAAGACCTTTGTTCAAACCTGTGTATGAATGGCTTTATTAAAACCTTTAGTTGTTGGCAAGCCAGGTCATCGCCAGTGTAAAAATTATTGTTTGTGTCCTAGACAGCTGCTCAGGAAGCAGTCCTGCACGCGTCTGGAAATGGCACATCCTCCCTGTCTAAGGACTACTGCATGCTCTATAACCCTCTCTGGACAGCTCTTCCAAGTACGCTGGAAAACGCAGTAAGTATGGTAAATCACACAGTGCTGTTTATTTAAAACAGCAAAATATATTGAAAGGTGAAGATGAGTGTGCATCATGTATGAACCAGTTGTAATACATGATTAATAAGTAATAATGATTTTATTGCTTTACCTTAAGTGTTTTTTCTCTCTGGGAAAACAAGTTAGGAAATTTTAAAATACCCTAAATTATAAAAGCCTGATCATCATAAAGTATTTTTAATTTAAAAGAGCATTGTATGAAGTCAGCGGGTAACTTTGTCACTAAATGCATTTAGGGTGAAGTATGATATTTCTCCTGTTAAAGATATTTGTCCTTTCCAGACTGCCATTAGTTTGGTGAATCTGACTTCCACACCACTGTGCAACATTTCTGATATTCCTCCTGATGGAATAAAGAACAAAGCCGTTGTGGTTCAGTGGGGAACCTGCCATTTTCTTGAAAAAGCCAGAATTGCACAAACAGGAGGTGCTAAAGCATTGTTGGTTGCCAATAACAGTGTCCTGGTAAGTTATGAAATATACTAACTTCTTTTGAGCTCATGTTATCAAATTTCACAGGTTGAATGATGTCTTCTTTGTATGTGATTTAGGGGCTGAGTTTTAAATAATCTCATTGATAGTATTCTATTTAAATAAACATTCTGGTTATGATATACATGTAATGGGAAAATTCTGTTGTTTCTTTTCTAGTCCTCAAGTAGACTGGACTTTGTTAGGAACAAATGTGTTTGTGTGTGTGTGTGTACATAAAAGTTTGAGAACTCTTACTGTAATATTAAGAACATATGAAACTTTGTTTTATAACTTTAAAAAGATATAATATTATATCTAATGGAATAATTTGGATCTTATTCTGTAAATATATGAGTAGTTCATATATTTCCATAATATGTTTTTTCTTCTAGTTTCCTCCCTCAGGGAACAAATCTGAATTTCCTGATGTGAAAGTACTGATTGCATTTTTTAACCACAAAGACTTTAAAGATATGAAGCAGGTAAATTAGCAATTACATATTAGATAAAGTTCATAAATAATATAACTTTTTACTTTTGACGACTGGTACTCAATTTAAATTATTGTACAAGCTCTACTTGCTAAAAAGAGGGTGTAAAGGCCATCAGGTCTTTCCTGGAGAAGTATTCATCTTCCACTGAGCACAAGGCGTTCAGCGCCCTGACTTTAGAAAGGCTATCTACTTGCTTTGGCTTCTTTAAAAATTTTTGATTGCATAGAACACTGCACTTTAAAGATTTAATAAACCAAAGTATAGCCTCATAATTTTGACAGGAGAATATATCATGTTGTCAAAACTACTTCTGGTATTCTTGACTGTCTGATATAGAGTGTCCATTCAGATTGAAATTGGAGTGTTGCTGCCATATACTGCAGGGGACAGAAAGCTCATTCCAGGGCTTTAACTCTCATTTTGTGCTTTCAGACTCTTGGAGATAATATTACTGTGCAAATGTATTCTCCTCCATCATGGCCAAACTTTGACTATACTATGGTGGTTATTTTTGCAATTGCTGTGTTCACTGTGGCATTGGGAGGATACTGGAGTGGACTGATTGAGTTGTAAGTTTAATTTAAATTCAGTGTTTTGTGATAAATGGTTAAAAATTATTGTTTGAAATCATTTTAATCATGCAACAATATTTAAAATTTGACCTGATCTGAGAATATAGTGCCATTAAGATCAGATTGCAGTTTGCCCTCATATAGGTCATTTAACTTTGCCCTGGGAAGGGAGTCATTCATTGGTTCCTCTGACTCTTTGACTGGAAGAAAATAAGCGAGAGATGGGTGGGGCATTTTTCAGCTCCTTCTGGGCTGTGTCATTACAGTGTGACCTCTTTCTGTTCAGTGCTTTAGGAATTCTAAGGATACTAAGCATACTTACATTTTAATTTAAGTGTAGAAATTTCAAATGTACATAAAATTTGGATTTCCCTACTTAATGAAAACCTAAACCCAGTCTTCTTACAGTTATGTACCTTTGGCTCTAGATTAAAGCAGGCAATACAGTAGAAAAAGATCAGTTTATAATTCTGAATTTAAAAAATGTGCACAGAGCATATTATTTCATCCATAAAGGACAATATATTTACCTTGTAAATTGATCTCTAGATTTCATTAAAAGGGGTTTATTTGCAAATAAATGAAGGTAATAAGCTTATTTGTAATTTGTTAAAATACTCAAATTTGACTTACATCACTTACATCAAGAGAGAAATCTAGTTAAGGGGAAAAAGGGGGAGGGATTTGGAGGAACAAATAGGAAGGACACAGGGATGAGAACTAAGAGGGGTGGAAATGGGAGGGAGGTGGGGAGCAAGGGGCGGGGGAGGCTGGGATGGGAGAAATAGACAAAAAAACTGTACTTGAAAAATAACTAAATAAAATTAATTAAAAAAAATTGTCAAAGGGAATATATCATTCTTGTAAATAAAGTTGAGCCCTATTTTTTCTTTAAAAAAAAAAGAGAGAGAAATCTTAGGGCTTAACGGTGTACATTCCTGCAGTATTGAACTTTAAATATTTTATGTATTTGGAAAACATGTTTCGACATATATCAGTCACATGTTTTCATGTAAGCATTGTTTTTTCTTCATTAATATTCTTCTGTATATGTAAGAAGATCTTCAGTTTTCTCGATTATTTGTTGAAACCTTATAAATAATTTCCAAAAAGCTACTGATTCATTAAAAATCTTTTCTTGTCTCATATGGATTCACCCTATACTACCATTACTATCTAAATTGTTTCTTTAGACTAGTGCTTCTCAAACCGTGATATGCATACAAACTGTCTTAAGATCTCATATAAGTTCAGATTTAGGGGGCTTAAGATGGGGACCAAGATTCTGCATTTCCAGCAAGCTCCCAAGTGACCCGTAGACCATACTTTGAGATCACAAGGCAAACTTTATATGCATGTCAGGACAGGCTGCTCAGGAAAACTGGAGATGGGAAAGGGGTACATATAAGTTATTTTATTCATAACACATCATGATAGGCAGAGACAAAGAATTTGTTGCCTTCATTAGCCAGGTTGGGAGAGGAGATGTCCTTTACCTTAAGCTTGTGGATTTTAAAATTGAGGTGGCTTTCTAAGAGTAAGGTAAAGATAGGAAAAAGTAAGTGGGTGTGTTTTGGGGGTAGGAATGTGACAATATAAAGAAAGAGAATATGAAGCAGTGATAAAATGAAAACATTTCCGTGAAAAGTAGGATTAATAAGAACATAAGGATCATCATTTCATAAGTAAAGAGTAAGATTGAAAGAGAAGGGGAAAGAGATAAGGCTTAGGGCAGGGAAATTTTGTCAGAACAGGACCTCATAACCCAGAGTTACCTTGCCAAATGCAAGGTGTCCCTTATGCAAAAGGGAAAGATGACTTGGTTCCATATTAAGACTTTCAGTAGAGACTTCAAGTCTTGTTATGAGATCACTGGTTCTCAAGCTTTGTAAACTCAAGATGACCTGAAAGAAAACTTAGCTCCCCCCCCATTACATGTGGCTCTTAATTTAAGAGTATAAAAATATTTTGATGTGATATAAATCTAGTATATGTTTTCTCTTCAAGAAATTGCCTGGTGCTTTCTATTACAATGAATTTGAATATATAAATCTTTCATTATTATGACTTACATGTGTACTCTGACAGAAATGTCTCTAAACATATGTTTGTAATGACAGATACCATAGGTTGGCACATTTACCCATTGGGGTATCACTTTTATTAAAACTTATGTTAATAACCTTGTAGCTCTACAGTTTCAAGGAGGTCCTGGTGTGTCTTCCCCCAAACTCTATCCCTTCTCTAATCCAGGTAAGCTTCCTAAAGTCACAGGTGCTTAATAACGGTGGCTATCCCAGTTGACAGTATTCTAATAAGAAAATGACATGTTGGTAAATAAGCAGTTTGGCAAATGTGTAATTTGAGAGAAGTAAATTTTTTCATCTAAAGTTTGTTTTGAGCCGAGATCTGGAGATAAGGGCCAGGGAGTATACACGGGGACCAGAGGTTAGTAGACCAGAGTTGATGAAATTGGAGCTGGAAAAGTAGGGAGTGGCTTCCATATACCTGGAAAGAGATAGTAGGTGACCGAACAGAGACTGCTCAGTCAGGGACACTTGTGGCTCACTCCTCCTCGGCTTCAGTCTCTCCCTTTTATTAACTGTGTGACCTAACAAGGATTATTGGAGCATTTAAGAACAGTATTTTGCTGTCTTAAATGAAGGTAGGACAAAGCTATGTCTTGAAATTCCTGTGAGTTCATAACACATTGATGAGCATATGGTAAACTCTGAGTTGATGGAAAGAATTTAGTGTTTCCATTAAAAAGAAGCTAATTTTAGAAGTACTGTGTCTAAACTGATAATACTACAAGTGTCAGAAGAATTAGTTATCATTTATTCTATCACTATAGTTTCCAAATTAGATGATGTAAATATCCACAAACATTAATCTATTTATATATGTCATCCATTTCAACAGTTTTGCCTCCAGGAAAAAAAGGCTGTTTCAAAGATAATGGCTAATAATGTTATCTCTGGAGGGTAGAATAATAAATAGAGAGTTTTTACTTCTGGCTTAAATATTTCTTCTTGGTGTGAAGTTTTTTTTTTAAGTGTTTTTAATCGATGACAAATTTAAGTTGGTGTTAAAAATGGATTTTAAAATAATTGCACTGGGAAGAGATTTGCTGAAGTTCCCGTGTGTGTTTGTTTAGGGAGAACATGAAGGCCTTGGCAGACGCTGAAGACAGTGATGTGCGGAGAAAGAAGGAAGACTATTTGACTTTTAGTCCCCTAACAGTTGTTGCATTTGTGGTCATCTGCTGTGTTATGATGGTCTTGCTTTATTTCTTCTACAAATGGTTGGGTAAGAAGTCATGTTTTGTATTTGGTATTTTTAGCATACAGTCTTTCGCTTACTTTGCCAGATTTCTTTTTCCTTAAAGCATTGTACCTGGAAAACTTAAATGAATAGTTAAAAAATGATACTAACTTATTTAATTGTTAGAAGTGTTAGGTCCCCATTACTCTGAAATAAAAAAATATTCAGTTTAAAAATATATTGTCTTGAGTTTTGGCCATGTGGCTCGGTCGGAGAGTCATCATGAACAACAACGTTTGTGGGTTTGGTTCCTGGTTGGGGTGCATGCAGGAGGCTACTGATGACGTTTCTCTCTCACATCAATGTTTCTCTCTCCCCCTTTCTCGCTCTCTAGAATTAATAAACATACTCTCGTGAGGATTAAAATAAATAAATAAGTATGTTTGTATATATGTACTGTATTTTTCAGACCATAAGTTGCACACCCCCCCTCCCAATTTGGGGGAAATAATGGTTGTTAATGCTGCTGTTGAGGTCTGTTTACATTTACATTGGTGAAATATTATGTTATTTAATATTTTACTACATTTTTTGCTTCAACATTTTTTTTCCTATTTTCCTTTAAAACCTAGGTGCGTCTTATGGTCTGAAAAATAGGGTATGTATGTGTGTATGTATAGTCTTGAGATAAGAACACTTCTTCATGGATGACTTGAAAGAACTGCTGTAGTTCCTAAATTTTCCTCTCTGCAGATAAAGGATGAAAGCCTAGTATCGCAGGCTAAGGACTTCTTTGGGGCTATATTTAGTTACATGAAATAGACAACTATTCAAATTACTGATTGATGGCCTTTGCTTAACCCCAAAGTGTAGTTTATTCTTTTGTCAGTTTGAAAATCAAGATGTATTACTTGAATTTTGTTTCATTTGTATAAACAGTTAGGATCATATTATCAGTACACCTAAAGACACACAGGTACATGCCTATGATCTAGAGAATAACTGATACTTCTTCCTTTAAGTCGGAAGGGGTAGGAGCTATAACGGCTTGTCCGTCCCCTGAATAGTCTTCTGAATTATCAGACAGGATGGAAATTTGCCATCCCCGGCCAATATATAGCACAAAGAGGGGATGGTAAGACCAGGAAAAAGGGGAATGTGCCTGATGAAAACTAGCAAAAATCCTTTGTAAAAGCCACCAAAGGCTACAACGCTTACGTGGAGAACCTCAGCATAATTTTCTGAAGTAGAAAACTGAGGTCCTAAGATTAGTTTCAGCTTACTCAATTTTTGCTGTCTTGTGGCAGCAATGTAAAAATATGACCTATGACATATATTTCCAGTTAGAAAAAAACCATTCTTTGAATATCACTCATATTTCAGTCTGTTTCTGGGAAGTGAGTTCTAGGGTGTTACTTGTGTTATGTTGTCCCTGAGTGGCTAATTTTTCTGTTTTACTAGCCTTCAATTGTTTTTGTCTGACCTTCAGTCAATATCAAGTGCTCGTTGATAGAAATAAAGAGATTCTTGTACCCTTTTCTAAAGCATGTTTTAATTTTTTGTGTGATATTTCCTTAAACTGATTGCTATTTTAAAAGTTGACCCTGTTTATAAATGTAATTTTTGATGTAGAAGAAAAACTATTAAACCTCAAGGTTATCTCAGAATATGGGATTTAATTATAACTCTTCAGAATATCTATTTAATTCATTTACTTATTTGGGGGGGAGAAGAGAGAGAGAAACTTCGATTTGTTGCTCCATGTATTTATGTGCTCATTGGTTGCTTCTTGTAAGTGCCCTGACCGGAGCTTGGAACTGCAGCCTCGGCATGTGGGGTGATGCTCTGACCAACTGAACTGCCTGGCCAGGGCCATAACTCTGAGAATATCTTCTGTGATGTTCCAAGATTTACTTCACCTTCAAATGTTTTTTTATAGCTAAATGTGCTATCTTTTCTTAATGTATTAAATAATAGGAATCCTGGCAATTTAGCATTTAATTGCTATGATTCCGCTTACCATTTTATGATTGTCGTGGTCAGGGAAGTAACTAAAGACAGTTATGTTAACCATATGATTCTCCAAGCCCAATTATTTTCTTAGCTGTAGTGTGATACCAAATGAGATAACCCGAAATCTGGTAGGGCCTCAAGAGCCTGGTTTCCACCAGTATTTTAAAACTTGGTTGGGAGACCTTTGGTGGATGACTTACCATACTTAAGTTGGCAATCTTTGACTCTCTATCTTACTGTTCATATTACCATATATAACCAGTAATTAAAATAACATCAGCCCTGACCGATGTGGTTCAGTTGATTGGGTATCATTCTGCAAAGCAAAAGGTCACCACTTCCATTCCCAGTCAAGGGCACATGCCTAGGTTATGGGTTCGGTCCCTGGTTGGGGTATGTGCAAGAGGCAACCAATCAACATTTCATATCAACATTTCTCTCCCTCTCTTTCTCCCTCCCTTCCCCTCTCTCTAAAATTTTTATTTTAAAAACAACATCAAATAAGTTTTATATAAAGCATATTATGTGCCAGATACTATTCAGAGCATTTTTTATATATTCAATATTTACTTACCTAAATATTCACAGTAACCTTGACATTGGTAGTATTACATTTCATACTTTAAAGGTGAGACTCAAGGAACTAAAGAAGTAATTTGTCCAAGGGCACCAATTGTAAAGTGGCCATAGATTACTTTCTCTAGATTACTTTCAGATTCTCTGTCTCTAGATTACTTTCTCTTTCTCACATGCAATTTATAGTTTTCTGCAGTTGAGTGAAAATTAAAAAATTCAGGTAAAATTTTTATTTTCTTTGTGAAATTTTGGTTACATTCTGAAAAATGAATTATTTTATTTTAGAATACAGTAATCTCCCCCATTTTAACAACAAAGAGATCACATATTTTTAATTTTAAAGAATACTCAAGTAAGTATAGGTACTATAGAAAAATGGTACCTATACTTGTCAATTTTAACTGCCTTAGTGTTGTAGCATAACAAAGAGGTTTGTTTAAATGGATTTGGTATTACCATAGGTCAAGTTATAGATAAATTCTGCCTTTGGAAAATACAGATAGCATGGCTAATGTCTAAGGTATCAGTTCTCATCCCTAAGCTGCATTAAAAAAATGTTTATGATGATATATTCTCTCATCTCTTACATTAAAATTAAATATTTATAACTGTATGCAACTCACTTCATGGGAATCTTTTAACAAACATGTCAATTTGAATCATTGAATGATAGTAAGTACAGAGCCAGCTTCAGCCCCTTAAGCAGTCCTACCAATGTATAATGGAAGTAAAATAACACAAAATATTCTTAAAACTCAAGATCTAAATATTTTTAGTTTAGTAACCAGTTCAGATTATAACATAGTGAATTGGAAGTATGATCCAACGAGAAAGCTAAAGAATTAATCGTGCTTGTAAATATTTTTGTTACATTTTTATGTTCTCATGTAATTTAGTGTCTTGGTTTTTTTTCTAGTTTATGTTATGATAGCAATTTTCTGCATCGCGTCAGCAATGAGCCTATACAACTGTCTTGCTGCACTAATTCATAAAATCCCATATGGAAAATGCGCGTATGTATGAGGAATCCCTGTGATATTGGTATTTGTAATTTAAAACAATTCAAGAAAAAGTAAGAGTCTTATTTTAAACCTGTGCATTTCATTATACATGTGATGATTTAAATTTAAATTAAATTAAACTAAAATTCAGTTCCTTAGATTCATTAGCCAAATGTAGCTGGTGCCTCCAGTGTAAAAATGTGGAATGTTTCTAGCATCACAGAAAGTTCTGTTGAACTGATAACATTTTATTAATTTATTTTATTATGTTCTACTTAAAGACTTTTAAATTGGTATTTCAGTAGTTTTAGTAGTTTAGTAGTTTTGTTACTGTGGTTAACACTTGTCTTTTCTCATATTAAGTGAATGTTTTATTTCATCTGCAGCAAAACTAATTCATCTGTTTGTGTGTTTTGTTTGTTTTTATAGAATTGTGTGTCGTGACAGAAGCATTGAAGTGAGACTTATTTTTCTCTCTGCACTGTGCATAGCAATAGCTGCTGTTTGGGCCGTGTTTAGAAATGAAGATAGGTATAAGTACTTGTGTATTTGCTTTTAGATCATGGATAGATGATTTTATGTCTTTCCCTGATAGTTACTCATTATTATTATTATGAAAGTTCTTTGCTTTGTATCCTAGGGCACCATCATTTTAAAAAAAGTTACTTGTTAAATAAGCAGATCCTGTTCTAATGGATTTGAAGTCATATAGAGGAGGAAATATGAACCATGTTTTAAACATCTAAGCTGAAATAGATTTCAGCATTTAATTAAGTATAGTACAGTGTACTTAGTTCTGGTATAGACACACAGTGGAGTACACTGCAGCTATAAAGAATGAAGACGATCTCTATAAATTGATATGCAGTGATTCCAAGAATATATTTTTAAGTGAAAAAAAACAATGCAAAAGAATATGAATATGCTAGAGTATGATGCCTCTCATTTAATAAAGAAGGAGATACAAGAAAATATACAAATATCATCCATTTGCAGGGAGGATGACCAGAAAAAATATATATTTAAGTTCATTTAATGGTTTATTAATGAAATTATTAAAGCCAATGGATTTAATGGCCTAAAATTTGGAGCAGAGTTCATGCGCCCACAGGCAGCTTCAGGTATGATAAATCAAGGGATCGTTATGCATCCTAGTTTCTGACAGAGTCTGTGGCGTAGCTCTCGTTTCCTTCATGTTCTGGCTGTCTGGGTGTATACCAGTCTTCTTTGTTATAAGCTACCTTTCCAGAAAGAGATAAGTAAAAATTCAAGGATTAAAAAAAAGATGCCCTTATATCTGATATGCATTCATATGTCTGATGTAGTCTTTCTGCTTTTTCTTAATATAGTAGTATTCATCATTCTACTAGGACAGCATATATTAAATATTAATGGTATGAGGGGTTTTTATTACTGTAATTGATGCTTCGTTATTGAGTTGTCAAATCATAATAATTGAGCAGTATTACTTCAGTGAACTACTGTTTTAAAGTTCTGTCTAAAAATAATTGGATAAAACAATCCAGTAACTTCTCTTGATTTTAGGTGGGCTTGGATTTTACAGGATGTCTTGGGCATTGCTTTCTGTCTGAATTTAATTAAAACACTGAAGTTACCTAACTTCAAGGTAAGATGTACTACTCTGCTAGCTAAAGTAATTTTTCTTTATAAAACATCTTTTCAAAGGTATAATTTATATATAATAAAATGTACCCATTTTAACTGTGAGGTTTATTGAAATTTTACTAATTTGGAACTTTGCAACCACCATCTCAGTCAAGTAAAAGAACGTATCTCGTGTCTTCAAAAGCTCTATCATGCCCTTTTGCAGTCAACCCTAAACCCCAGCCCCAGGTAACCACCACTAGCTAAAGTGTTTTTAATCATTTATATAATATGCCTGATTCATAAAATTCTTACAAGGCTAAATATTAAGGAAGAACATTTGTTGGATTGATTCTTTTCTTAAAGTGAATGGGATAAAGAAGATAAAAGTTTTAATGTAATTTGTAGAATAAAATGACAATAGCAATAACCATTAATGCTTTAAAAAATAGTGTTCAAATGTATGCTCACATATTTATTTATAACTTGAAAAACAACCTCTTAACTTAGATATGGGAAGTTTGACCTTTAAATTTGTTTCTTTCAACAGTCATGTGTGATACTTCTAGGCCTTCTTCTCCTCTATGATGTATTTTTTGTTTTCATAACACCATTCATCACAAAGGTATGATATTTTTGAAATCCATGAGAGACATGCTAAAACATGAGAATCTTAAACCTGCTGCTAGGTGATTGGTTTGGCAAATGTTTATCCCTGACTGAGTTCTAATTCTCAAGAAAATTGTTATTGAAATTGGCCTCTTTTTTTTTTAAGATTTTATTTGTTTATCTTTAGAGGGGAAGGGAAGGAGAGAGGAAGAGAAACATCAATGTATGGCTGCCTTTCATGCGTCCCCTGCTGGGAACTGGCCTGCAGGGAACCGGCCTGCAACCCAGACATGTGCCCTGACTGGGAATCGAACTGCGATTGTCTGGTTCGCAGGCCCGCACCCAATCCACTGAGCTACACCAGCCAGGGCTGAAATTGGCCTTTTTATAGGGGATGTTTTCAAGCCTTTAAGCCATTCTGTGAAATAAGAAACGTCTCCTGACTGATGTGAATGCAAGAAATGTCTATAAATTTGCTTCCTACCCTTTTTAAAGTAAATTGTCTTATTATTGTGAAATAATGAATGTTCGTCGTAGGTGCTATAGACAGCAAAAATAATGAAAATGTGTCATTGCTACTTTCATTTCTGGATTCCTCCTCTGAGAGGAAGAAAGAGCACCACCGGGGAAATCCGAAGCCCTAACATGTAGCTCGGTAACCTTTCACCCCGGACAAGTCACTAGTTTCCTAATCCATTGTTGTGGAGTATTACTAGCATTTCATCCTCCCTCTTCCATCAGTAAAGTTCTTTTGGTTGCAACCGACAGAACCTAGCTTATCCTTTCTATACTGAAAAGGTCCCATCTCACTCCAGGCTGTGGAGAGGCCAGCGTGGGGCTGGCCTCAGGAGAAACTAGACACAGGTCCACATAGGATTCCTTTCTGCCTCTGTTCATTTGCTCATTGCTTCAGTCTGTTTTTTTCCATGAGGTTAGTTAGAGTCAGAGCACCTGGCAGCTCCTAGATCATGATTTGCAGCTCTGCCCCTAGCTCCTCAACAAAGTGAAGGTGCAGTTCTCTGAATAAGGGGCAGGTGTTCGTTGAGTGTGGTAGTCTTTCATAGCATATACGGTTTTTCTGCCATGTCCCTATCCTGCCTCATAAATGTATTATTGTTTATCTCTCCCACTTTCCCCATTTTATTTTGAGTCTTACTTTGTAATTTTCTGTCCTCTCTTTATCTTTTGTCACTCTCACATACTGAATATTTAATATAATCACTACATTTTTTTCCTATTAGTTACTTATCCATTCTTTAGCCATGGCTATCTATGAAATCACTGTAAAACTCTGTACTTCCGATACTTGCTACAGTATAATAGCATGAGCACGTGCCCCACTGGGGAGCTAAAATTGCAACCAGGTAACAAATGCAGTGAACTGCCCCACGTCACAGCTGCCCAGTCGTTTTCCTGTGCCTTGATGATGAACCATTTGACTCAGTGACTCCATTTGGATTAGAACCCTACAAAAGCATAGAACTAGTGTTACATTATCACCAAATATTAGGTTATAAAACTGTTAACTTACTAAAGCATTTTTTAAAGTTCTAAATAATGTTGTCTTAGCTTGTATCAGTTTATATTGGTGCAATAAAATATTTCTGTAAGTCACTCCATCGGAGATCTCATGATGAAAGGAAAGCATTCTCTCTACAGAGCAATTGTCATAGGTCAACAGGTTGTCATGGCATGTGACACATAGTTTACAGGGGCTTCAGCTATAAACTGTAGCTAAATTGTTGTTTTAAAATAATTTTTCTATTCTGTTTTAACATGAGATTCACTTTTTAAACGCCAATGTGTCTGCCAGCAAGTGATTTCCAATCCTTACCCATAAAAAGTTTTAAAATTTTAAAGGTATAGGATAATAATAAAGACGAATTTGAGCCCTCTTCCTTCCTTCTGCACTTAGGGAATTAGGCATCTCCTTTTTTTTCCATCTTAGTTCCCACTGACTAGGAATGGACTTCTCTAGCAATCCGATCAGGTAGAAAAAATTAAAGTGCTCTTTGTTCTGTTCAGTGTTACAGGTTTACTTTAACACATTCTTCTCAGCCTGGTTTGTTTTTATTGAGGGTATAGACCTTACTTTTAGTAGGTAACTCAAAGGGAAAATCAGATGTGTAATTTCTGATTTTTGTGGTTCTCATTGAAAATGTCAAGATTTTATTTATTTTTTAATTTAAATTATTTTATTATTGTTCAATTACAGTTCCTATTTTCTCCCCACCCACTCCAAACCCACCTCCCTCCCTTGCTTCCACCCTCCCCCTTGGTTTTGTCCATGTGTCCTTTAGAGTAGTTCCTGAAAACCCTTCTCCCACTGTCCCCTCCCATTTCCCCTCTGGCTGTTGTTAGATTGTTCTTAGTTTCAATGACTCTGATTATATTTTGTTTGCTTTTTTCTTTTGTTGGTTATGTTCCAGTTAAAGGTGAGATCATTTGGTATTTTTCTCTCACCTGGCTTATTTCACTTAGCAAAATGCTCTCCAGTTCCATCCATGCTGTTCCAAAGGGTATAAGCTCCTTCTTTCTTTCTGCTGCATAGAATTTCATTGTGTAAATGTACCATAGTTTTTTGATCCACTCATTTGCTGATGGGCACTTAGGTTGCTCCCAGCACTTGGCTGTGTTAAATTGTGCTGCTAGGAGCATTGGGGTGCATGGGTTCTTTTGAATTGGTGTTTCAGGGATCTTAGGGTATAATCCTAGCAGTGGAAGTACTGGGTCAAATAGCAGTTCCATTTTTAGTTTTTTGAGGAAATTACATACTGTTTTCCACAGTGGCTGTACCAGTCTGCATTCCCACCAACAGTGCACTAGGGTTCCCTTTTCTCTGCATCCTCTCCAACACTTGTTTGTTGCTTTGTTTATGATGGCCATTGTGACCGTTGTGAAGTGGTATCTCATTGTGGTTTTAATTTGCATCTCTCTGATGGCTAGTGATGCTGAGCATCTTTTCATGTGTCTCTGGATCCTCTGTATGTCCTCCTTGGAGAAGTGTCTGTTCAAGTCTTTTGCCCATTTTATAACTGGGTTTTTTGTCTTTCTGGAGTGGAGTCATGTGAGATCTTTATATATTTTGGAGCTCAAGCCCTTGTCTGAGGTGTCATTGGCAATTATGTTTTCCCATATGGTTGGCTCTCTTTTCATATTAATGCTGTTTTCTTTAGCTGTGCAGAAGTTTTTTAATTTGATGAGGTCCCATTTGTTTACTCTTTCCTTTATGTCCCTTGCTTTAGGGGACATATCGGTGAAGATGTTGCTGTGTGGAATGTCTGAGATTTTCCTGCCAATGTTTTCCTCTAAGACTTTTATGGTGTTCCAACTTATATTTAAGTCTTTTATTCACCTTGAATTTTTTTGTGTGTATGGTGTAAGGTCGTGATCAAGTTTCATTTTTTTGCCTATATCTGTCCAGATCTCCCAACACCATTTGTTGAAGAGGCTATTTTTGCCCCATTTTATGGAAAATGTCAAGATTTAAATGTTAGACATTCTAGTCCTGGCTGGCATGGCTCAGTTGGTTGGGCATCTGTCCTGCAAACCAAGAAGTTGCTGGTTCCACTCTCTGTTAGGGTGCTTGTAGAAGGCAGTCAGTCGAAGTTTCTTTCTCACATCGATGTTTCTCTCCCTTTCTCCCTCCCTTCCCTCTCTCTAAAAGAAAATTTTAAAAAGCATTGGACATTCTAAACATGTTCTTAACTATGGTATTAGGAACTTTTGGAGTTCACTATGAGTACAGGCAGTAAGAGCCTGTCTTCATTTTTATTTCACCCACTATGGTTTTGGTGTAGTATTCTGCAAATAATAGTTACTCAGGTGTCTTTGAATGTATGAGAGAATATCAGTAATGGTCTTTAGTTAAATGTTTTAAATAAGAATTAGAAAACAAACCAAACTCTTTATCTGAAAATTGAATCACATGATGGGAGTTCTTTGTAATGAACTGTATTCAATATTTATTTTCCTAAAATTCTGTAACTTAACCCTTCAGTAACCTGAAGCTGAACATGAGAAGATTTCTGTAACCAGTGATTTTATCCTTCTTTCTACTTATCTCAGTTGTCAGTGAAGTCCTCTTAAAAACACTCCAGTGATTTCCCCTATGCATCCCACCCACATGTAAAATAGTAGTAGTAAATCAAATTTTTCTAAAATTCAGCACTTATTTATATTCCCACTACCTGTTCTGGTGCTATATTTATCATGATGTGAAGCTTGCTACCTCAAAATGTTTCCCCTCTCTACAACACACTTGGCTGTCTTCAGGAAAGAACTTTTTAGTGAACTCCTCACAGCCCACATAAAAAACCCTGAGCCAGACACAAGGGAGGAAATTCAGCTAAGGTTAATATTTTGATTGGGACAGAACAGCAGGCAGGGCTGACATTGGACAGGAGTTGGGCTATAGAAGCTTCTCAGGTTCCTTAGGGCTGGGTCTCCTCAGGTTTGACTTCATTGTTTTGTTATTGTGGTGAGTAGCCAGAGGTCAGATGTGTATTTATTCAAATAAAGTTACCCGTATGTATTACAAATCTAAATTAAGAAAACTTAGTATATCTTGTGTCCCCATTAATTGTTATTGCTGAAAGTGACTAAGAACACGCAGTATATGATATAACTAAGAGCACAAATATTTATATTCCATTAGAAATGCTAGATATTGTCAATACAAATCAGTGCTCAAAGCTTCACTTGAATAAGCTGTGTACAGTTTATCTGTTAGTTTCTAAAAATTGCTCAGTTCTTGTAAAGTGGAACAGTGTGCTAGGTGGATTTTGTTTTAGATGACTCCAGTTCTTGCATAGACTGTTTTAGGAAAAAGGTAGTGTATGGCACATTTTTAATCAGTTTATAGTCGGCCATAGCCATAGGGCCAAATCATTCTTAAATATGGGCAGAGTGTTCCCTTTAAATGATTGGACAATCCCTTTCCTCTTCCTTCTCTATTGTAGAATGGCGAGAGTATCATGGTTGAACTTGCCGCTGGACCCTTTGGAAATAACGAAAAGGTAGCGATGGCCGTTAAACAGAAATGGCTGCCCGTGTGTGTATGTGTGTCCAGTTAATTATTTGCCTCCCTGTGTAAGTCGTTGGTCATGTAGTGCATGTTAAGGTATTGTAAAACTTTATTTCTCACAAAATATAGCCCTTTTCTTAGTTATTCTAAACTATTAAACACCTATTGACTTGGGTTTCATCCTAGAATGATGGAAACTTGGTGGAAGCCACTGCTCAGCCCTCAGCTCCCCATGAGAAAGTAAGGATTGTATTTCATTGGCTAAGTAAGGATATATTCATTGGACTTTAAATTATACCCTCTGAGACAACATTCTTCTTTGGGGAAAAAAATCCAGATTGCACTCCCCCCCAAAAAAAATCTGTTTCAAGGCCTGAGTCCTATTTTTGCTAAAAAGGGAAAAAAGGTTAGATGTGGGGATATTGGCATTAATAGTTACCCCTACATGTGTTTTATTTTTCCAAAACTACGTGTTTATTTTTTTCAAGCTGTGTGCTCAGAGTCTATATGTGTTTAGTTTATGTTCTCTTATTTCAAGTTCTTCTAAATGTCAATTTTAAAATGTGAAAAAAATTATTCTAATATTAATCCTTCCCTTTCTAAAAGATATAGGTAAAGAGTCCAACGATGTTTACTGGTGTCCCCCCTTTTTTAAATATTTGCAGTTACCAGTCGTCATCAAAGTACCGAAGCTGGCCTATTTGTCAGTAATGAGCGTGTGCCTCATGCCCGTTTCCATATTGGGTTTTGGAGACATTATTGTACCAGGTAAGCAATTGTTTGTAACAATTTCCGTAAAAATATACTGATCATTTAAATTTGTCAAATGCGTAGTATCTATTAAAAGTTACCTACTTCATTTGAAATATTTCTGACTGTTGCTAGAGCTGGGATTAGTGACAAAGAAAGGAAAAAGGTTTTTGAGTATTAGAAGACAAAGCCCAATTTGTTACAACCCAAGTGTATCTTCCATGGCTCAAATGTGTCTTAGAGGAAGCAGTTAAGATCAGTTTGACCTTCTTAAGAAAGTCTAATAATATATATCAAAACCCCTTTTAAAAGTTGAATTTAATAATAATAAATGTATTGCAGTACTTGTTACTTCTACTTTAAAATAATAACTATGTTTTAGGGGAAGTGACTTAGGGGGGGAACATCGTAAACACTGCCTGACAGAGCACTGTTACAGAAAACAACGTACAGTGTTGTGGAGCCGGCCACCTTCTCCTAACATGTCTTCTCTGACAGTTACTGCAGTTCTGCAGTATCTTCCTCACTGGGCTCCCTGGAGATCAGACTTAATCCTAACCCGTTAATAATATAGTTTAGAAGTAATTAATATTTCTCAGTCAGCTGACACTTTGTCCTTCCTCACTTACTGTGTCCCTGGGTATATCACCTGCCTGTGCACGGGTAAAAAGAGTACTACCTCCTCCGAAGAAGAATAAGAAGAAAAACAACTTTTCATTTACATAGTAAAGCCAAGTAGAGAGAAAATTTAACAGTGTGTTGCCTTTTGAGTCACTGTGGCAAAGTCCAGCATAGCAATAGTCTTATTTCAGTGAGTCTCTTCCATTCACATGACTCATAAAGTTGGGAGAGTATTCTATGGAGAAACCTTAAAGTTTCTTAAACACCTTTATTTAAATTTATCCACAATTTTACCAGTTTCACACCAAGTGCTTTATAAAATCTTGTATATAGCACTTAGCACTGAATTGGGTGGGTGGGTGGGCTATATAAATATTGCATTTTTGAAGTAAATGTCAAAAGGTCTCAAATATTTTTCCAAAGAGCAAAGTTTGGGATAATACATGACTTAATTCTAAAAGCTAAATTATAATTTGGGGAGAGGGAGTAACATTTTTTAAACATGTAGAAATGTGATTAAACAGCAAATATAGTAAAAATAACAAGGAACTATCAAGGAACTTATTTGATTAGTTATGTAGGGACCAAACTACTGATAAAAATAATACATTAATTATTTCAAACAACTAATAACAGTAGTAGTTATTTTATGATTCTTAAGTAGTTAAATATTCTAACAGATTCATAACTATTAGTAAATATAATCTGAAACTACTTCTTTGTAGAGGTCAACAAAGTTTTTAAAAGAAATAGGTAATCAAATGGTTTATTTTTGCATATTTGCATTTTTACAAATGAGAGCTTATATTTAATTTTTATTTGACCCCTTTATATTAAAACTCCAAATCATTTTATTCTACTAGGAAGGGAGACTTCGATCACAATTTGAAATTGCCTTCCTGATTTCTTTTAATACATTTTTCTAGAGGGTACATTAAAAAATATTTTTAAATATATTTTATTGATTATGCCATTACAGTTCTATTTCCCCCTTCATTCCCCTCCACCCTGAACCCCCTCCCCCACCATTCCCCCCTTTAGTTTATGACCACGTGTCCCAAGTTCTTTAGATTCTATATTTCCCATACTATTCTTGCCCTCCCCCCTATCTATTTTCTACCTACCGTCTATGCTACTTATTTTCTGTACCTTCTCCCCCCTTCTCCTTCTCCCACTCCCCTGTTGCTAACCCTCCATGAGATCTTCATTTCTATGGTTCACTCCTGATCTAGCTGTCCTCTTAGTTTGCTTTTGTTTTAGGTGTGGTTGTTAATAATAAGTGTGAGTTTGCTGTCCTTTCACTGTTCGTATTTTTATCTTCTTCATCTTAGATAAGTCCCTTTAACATTTCATATAAAAGGGCTTGGTGATGGTGAACTCCTTGAACTTGACCTTATCTGAGAAGCACTTTATCTGCCCTTCCATTCTAAATGAAAGCTTTGCTGGATAGAGCAACCTTGGATGTAGGTCTTTGGATTTCATGACTTGGAATACTTCTTTCCAGCTGTTTTTGCCTGTAAGGTCTCTTTTGAGAAATCCTCTGACAGTCTGATGGGAACTCCGTTGTAGGTGACTGTCCCCTTCTCTCTTGCTGCTTCTAGGATTCTCTCCTTCATTTTAATCTTGGCTAATGTAATGATGATGTGCCTTGGTGTGTTCCTTCTTGGGTCCAACTTCTTTGGGACTCTCTGAGCTTCCTGGATTCCCTGGAAGTCTATTGCCTTTGCCAGATTAGGGAAGTTCTCCTTAATTATTTTTTCAAATAAATTTTCTACTCGTGGCTGTTCCTCTTCCCCTTCTGGTATCCCTATAATTCGAAGGTTGGAATGTTTAAAGATGTCCTGTAGGTTCCTAAGCCTCTCTTCATTTTTTTGAATTCTTGTTTCTTCATATTTTTCTGTTTGGCCATTATTTTCTTCCTTCTGGTTCACTCCCTTGATTTGAGTCCCAGTTTCCTTTCCATTACTATTGGTTTCCTGTGCATTTCCCTTCATTTCAATTAGTTTAGCCTTCATATGTTCCTCTAATTTGTGACTAAAATCAACCAGTTCTGTGAGCATCCTGATCACCGGTATTTCGAACTGTGCATCTGAACGTTTGGCTATTTCTTCGTCGCTTAGAGTTATTGGCTCTGGGACTTTGAGCTGTTCTTCTTGAGCCATAATGTTTTGCTCTGTTCGCACCTGTTAAGGTATGAGGTGCAGAGCCTTAGTTGTTCACCAGGGTAGGGCCACCCAGGTCGCTGGTTTGTGACGCTGTATGTGGGGGCGGGGTCAGAGAGGGATAATGGCGGTCCCCTCTGCTGCTTCCAGCCTCTGGGGCCTGCGAGGTCTGTCTCAGTCTCACTGCTCGCTCCTTCGCGGGTTATCGGTTTGGCTGAATGGTTCGTTGTTGTCAGACTTCCATATAGTTCAATTTTCTGTGGTCTGGCTGTGTTTTTGTTGCTAAAACTTTGTTGTTTTTAAACTTGGTTGTGAGAGAAGGCAGAGTGTTTTCACCTATGCCTCCATCTTGGCGGAAGTCCTAAAAATATTTCTTCATGGAATAGTAAGCAGCTAATAAAAATCATGTTGTTAAAGACCATTTAGCCCTGGCTGGTGTAGCTCAGTGGATGGAGTGTGGGCTGCAAACCAAAGGGTTGCTGACTCTATTCCTAGTCAGGGCATATGCCTGGGTTGCAGGCCAGGTCTCCAAGAGGGGACATGGCAAGAGGCAACCACACATATTGAAAAAAGAAAAAAAAGGCCATTTAATGTCTGGAAAAAAATGTTTAAAATATGGCATTAAGTTAAAAAATTAGCATATAGAATTTTATCCACAATTTGAGGATAAATGTTCTCATGATGCAAAAACCGAAGGTTAAATACAGTACAACATGTACTGTTGCAAAAGGTAGTTGCTGTTTGGGTTTTAAGAAAATAACATGGAATGTTTCTTCTCTTAAGGCCTGTTGATTGCATACTGTAGAAGATTTGACGAGCAGACTGGTTCTTCTTCTTCTATATACTATGTCTCCTCCACAATTGGTAAATTTTTTATTTTTTCCTTATTATGTTGAATTGTATAACCTGTAGGAAAGGGAAGAGGTCTAAAAACAAAGAACTCTGAATTCTAATTCTTTACCATTAATTAAGAAGACAATTTTTTCCATCAGAAAAGGAATAATTATACTTCACTACCTACATCACAAAGTTTTTGAAATTTAGGAAATTATATGTGAAAGAAAAACATTAGGTTCTATACATAAAATGCTTGCTAGAGCACCTGGCACACAAGTAGTCAATACATTGCATAATGCTAGATTTGTTACCCATGCAAAAAGAATATTGCATGGGTAACTATATGTAAATGAATTTATGGTACAATAACATCTCACCTAGGACAGTAGAGGTAGTTGTTAGTTATCCTTCTGTTTCTATTATTGTGAACAGACAAGAGCAGGAAGGAAGCCAATAAATACTACTTCTGAACATATCAAACAGATAACTCAAAGTCCATACACCAAATTTCTTTTAGGTAAATAACCCGCACAAGAGCCATTTAGATACTATTCTACTTAAGTTTTCGATTACACAGTAGAATTAAATCTAATAAATTAAAAGTGTAGGTTAACAGTAGAGAAGAGTGTTGCTAAAAATAGGTACCCTGACAATAGGAAAGAATAGCTAAGTGAATGAAGAGATGAAAAAAGAAAAGCAGTCTGCAGCCATCCAGCATTTACTTTGTAAGGGCATAAGAGTCTAGCAGCAGTGGTGTGGATCATTAAAAGAATACTCAATGAAAAAGCATATAATAGGACTGTCTGTCAGTTCTGCTGTGTCACTTTGGACAACTCACTTAATTTTCCTGTTCTCCATTGCCTCAGCTATAAAATGAGGAGGTAGACTAAATTGTTCATAATGAGACCATGAGTCATTAAGAAAGATGAAGTGATATTTGTTATGCTTGCGTTGAATAAGTCCATGAAATGTAAATCAATATTAGGAAGATTTTCCAATGCAACCATTAGCACCTACAAGTACAATTTTTTTTATACATAAAATGTGGAACAACTCAAAATCCTTAATGGTGACAGACAATACATGAGACTTTCTTGAATTATCTTTACCCATAGTTGACGACTAGGATAATTATAATTGAAATACCAACCAGTTTGCAAATTTTTCAAAAGCTCCATAAATTGTCTTTCCTAATTACTGTCTAGGAACATAATAAAATTATGAAAGGAGTCATAGGGGAGAATTGTCCTCAAATACTTAAAAACCAGTAGTCCAGCATACTTTTATTTGAAAACCAGTACTCCAACATGTTTTATTTAAAAGCCAGCACTTCAACATATTTTTGTACTTTCAGGCCCTTAAATATCAACAAGTCAACAAAATGGTTTTATTGCTCTTGATTAAATAACCATGTGGCCTGAGGGCATAATATTTCTTTGGAAACGTTCCAGAGCATTCAGGAATGACTGATAGTTGGTGCTCTTTTTTGCAGCCTATGCTGTGGGCATGATACTCACATTTGTTGTTCTGGTGCTGATGAAGAAGGGGCAACCTGCTCTCCTCTATTTAGTGCCCTGCACCCTCATTACCGCCTCAGTTGTTGCTTGGAGACGTAAAGAAATGAAAAAGTTCTGGAAAGGTAACAGCTATCAGGTACGTGCTTATATATATATTTCAGCTACCAAGTTATCTTATGAAATAATTCACTGACTGGCTTTGGCTAGAAACTGACTATATATCTCAAAGCTTTTATGTGCCAGAAATTTATCTTGGATCTCTCAGGATGTCCTTTAAGTTTTTTCCACTACTGCCCCCTTCCTGTCCACGTGCTGCATCATCAGTTCTCTTTACCAGTGCAACCTGATGCCAAAATCCTGGGGACGCAAGATAAAACTGCCAGGAAGGAGTGGGAGGGCATCAGGGAAAAGCAAAACACATTTCAACGTGAGTTTTCAAAATCCACACAAAAGTAGACTTCCTGAAATATAAAATTCTGTGTTTAACTACTGAATGTTGAGACTGACATTAGCTATTTATGGTGAAGGTCCTAAGGTTTTGCTAATGAAAAATATAACTTCTTCAGCATCTGAATGGGCCTAAATGACTTAAATAGGGCACTTGTTTCAGATTTAAATGGATCAAGATTGACCTTTCTGTAAAATTGCAAAACACAGAAAATCTTAATACCAGACTCAGTGATGTTTGTTTCTTCATCAAAGTTAAAGTAAACCCCTTCCTTTTTTTTCTGAAAGCACTTGGTATTCCAGTAAAATTTGTTTGCATTGAAATGAAAGAGGGTTGGGAAACCCTAGCCTTTGAGGTCAGGGTCATGGCATCGATCCCTTCATGAGGCAGTTAGCTCTGCTTTGCCCTGTTACAACACACTGCCATCCTCCATCCACCCTCATGCATACGTGTCAGCGGTCACATGAACAAAACAGAAGTACTTTGGGTGGACGGCCATAATTGTTAGTAGATAAACAGTTCAAAGTTCATACCCATCTTGTGGTTGGTCTGTAGTATCATCTTTATTTAACAAGAGGTGATTAACACATTAAGTTAAGACTACTGTAACTGGGAAAAGCACTGGTCTAGAATTCATTGGGGTAAATCTTGTAATTTCTCTAAGATTTGGATAAAAACAACAATATCTGCTCTGCTTCACAATGCTATTATCTCAATGTGTATTTATACACGTGGGATTAGGTTATGTTCACAAGGTTCATGACTAAACTAGTGAGACAGCTTGCAACATTTCCATTAAGAGGACTCCCATATAAAATTTTGTAAGAGATTTTGAAAAATAAAGTGTGTCCTGCATCACATTCTCTACTACTATACCAGCCTTTGAAGGCCACATCCCAAAAAGTCCTCTTTGTCATCATTTAAAAAATAGTTTTATGTTTCTTCATTTGGCAGATGTTTATAGAGTAGTTCTATGACCCAGGTACTATTTTAGAAGCTGGTGATAAAATATGAACAAGTTAGAAACAGGTCTAGTCTCATGGCCTCTTAAAAGTTAGAGTGTATCAGGGGTGCAGATAGAGTCAGCAACGGCAAAGTGTGATAACGATACTAGTTATAGTAGGTTGCCATGAAAGCCCGAGGGGGGACCCCAGTGCTTGTGGGTTCATGACAGTTAAGGTGATTTGGGGCAGGCTTTTGAAAGAATGTTAAACTTATGTTGGGACTTTCACTAAGCCATGTGTTCCACATTGAGAGAACCGTGTGTTCAAAGGCCAGAGGGAAGAGAGTGTAGCCCCTTCTGGGAGCCCAGTGAGGTTTAGGATGACTGCAATGTTGAGTAGGCCTAGGGGAGCTGTAGGCAGTGAAAACTGGAGAAGGGAGCAAGGGTAAGAGCCTGTAGGGTCTTGTCAGCCCTGGTAAAGAGTTTGGATTGTATCCGACAAACATTAGGGAGTCTTTCAGGGTTTTAAGAAACTTAGAAAATAGATTAAAGGAGGAAGCAAAACTTGAGGCAGCTCTCACAATGAGAGGTGATAGTAGCCAGAATTAGGAACGTAGTGAGATTGGGAGACATGGACAAAGTCAAGAGAAATTAAGAGGTATATTTAATGGGACGTGGTAATAGATTCAATGTAGAGGGAGGAGAAGAAAGTGGAGTCCAAGGTTTCTGGCTCGAGTAACTGAGTGGGTGGGTGGTGATATTACTCACTGAGATAAAGGGGTGCAACAAGTTTGAGGAGGAATGATAAATTCAGTGTTGGGTAAGTTAAATGTTGACTATGAATTCAATTTTGAACATTTCAGAGTACTAAGAAAGAGAGAAATAATAGACCAGCAGAAAGAGAGAAATAATAAGTAGTTAAATAAATGTCCCCCATATTGAGGAGACAGAACTAGCTAGAGATGGAAACTTGAGCGTGACATGAGCATACTCAGCGAGTGAGTGAGAGTGTAGAAGAAGACAAGACTCAGGACGAATTGTGAGCAGGAGGTTTCTACAACCAGAGCACCTATCAGATGAACTGATTATAACCTAAGGATGAGGAAGATAAGCAACACAAGGAAATTTCATTTAGGGTTAGGGATAAATCCTGGGTTAGAATTTAAATTTGGGACTGTTGGAGCACATGTGATATCTTATAGAATTAAATATATTTTTAGTTAGTTTTATCATGGCATTTGATATTCATTTATGAAATTTGTCCTTTTCCTTTAATACAGGGTGGGACAAAAATAGGTTTACAACTGTATGCAAAACACAATTTATTCTTGTATTATTGTTTCTTAATTATTGCATTATTTTCCACTTGAACAACTGTAAATGTACTTTTGCCCCACCCTGTACAGCTTTTAAGGTATTTTATTATAAAAATATGTGCTTTTATAGAAAAATTTGAACATGTAGAAAAATAAAATTAAGTTTACCCATAAATCCCACCAGCTAAAGCCACTCTTAAGATTTAAGTAAGTTTCCTTGTATGCCTTCCTAGATAAATGGGCCAGTGATTGCATGATACCATACTCTAATTCTATCCAACATTGGGTGTTAGTGTTATTTCATGATAAATTTCTTGTAAAACCCATTTTAATGGCTTTATATATGCATGTACCATACTTTATTTTACCATTTCCTGCTGGCACAGTAATTTCTCTTTGGCAGATTGTCCAGATAATAAAAATTTGGGGGAAATTGATGTGAAAAGATGTTCGTTAGGTACTTCTGGTCATCTTTATTCTATATAAATGACTTGTAGATTTTGCGTTACTGGCAGTTAATGAACAAAGAGTTTTACATAGATCCTAACCCTGCTTTTACTTTATTTTTCTTTTTGCACTTTTTTGAACAAGCAATACAAAAGTGTCTAAAGTAAACATGGAATGCCATTTTCTAACACTTCTGTCCCGGCACCCGCTCTGAAGGGGAAGCTACTTTGAACAGTTTATGTGGAGCTTCCAGATCTTTTTATGCCAGCTAGTACTATAAATAGTTGAATGCTTAGAGATGTTGTGTGCAAAGCTGTAATAACATTGTGTCTCTTTGGAAATATTCTACAGCTCTTTTTTCCTCAGGTTTATTGTAGTACCTTTCCTCCTCTCTCCGTGACATTTACTGAGAAGAAAGGGGGTGGTAGGTAAGGAAAGAATTCAACCAACAGATGCATTTATATTCCCTTTGAACAAATGCTCTGCCCTCACCATCTTGAGTTTCATTCTTTTGTTTTTTTAAAGACTTTATTTACCTACTTTTTAGAGAGAGTAGAAGGAAAGGAGAAAGAAATGGAGAGAAACATCAGTGTACAAGAGATACATCGATCAGTTGCCTCTCGCAAGCCCCCAACCAAGGGCCCGGCCCTCAGCCCAGGCATGTGTGACCTTTTGAGTCACAGGCCAGTGCTCAGTGCACTGAGCCCCTCCAGCCACAGCTGTTTAATTCCAAAAAATTATGATCTTGAAAAAAAGTATGATTCTGCTTCACAGCAGCTACCTAGAAAGGGAAAGATTGTTGCATCAGGATATAAAGCCATAGTAACTGCCCAGGAAGGACAGACTGCAGGGCTCTAATCACATCACATAGTAGCTAAATAAGGCAATTAGTTGTAGGAAAATCCATTAAGAAGTGTCTGAAGACATATGGGAACTTTGGTTATATACTTCTCACTTTTGTACTGTGGTGTCATAATTTTATTAGGTGAAGACATTCAGAATATAAAGTAACAGTAATAAAACGAATGGAGACTGCTGCCAGTTTGACTGTTGTAACTCTGACTTTGTTAATCATTAGCTGTGTGACCTTAGGCAAGTTACTTAGCTTTTTTTAGCGTCTCAGTTTCCTCCAGTGTGAAATGGGATAAAAGTCACCCTGCTTTAAGAGGATTGTTGTAATGTAAGCTAAATGCTTAGAATAGTGCCTGGTGCAACATAAACAAGATAAAATATTTGCTATTATTATTTGTAAGAATGGGGGGGTTTTGATTTATTTGGAAGTTTGGCTGTTATTTTCTAGATCATTTACTAGATTTACGTTTTCCTGGTTTAGGTGTTAAAACTTTGGTTCTTTGTTAAATATGGTTCCTTTGATGTTTATAAAAGAATTTGATAGCTATCACAACCTTAGAGGGGAAAAAAATCTGTTAAATGCTGTCATTTTCCCACTGTTCACTAGATTCTTTAAATATGAAGAATGAATATTTGCTGAAATTTTAATGAAGCTAGTGGCAGAATATTATAAACTACTGCCAAGAGAGAATCTACTTTTCTAGAAAACTGGCATTTTTGAAAGTTAAAGAATGTAATGCCTTCACAAAATTATTCCCCGGTTAAGGTTTTTGAAAAAAGAAAATCTCTCATTGCTTTTGTCTAACTTTCAAAGGCAAAATTAATTTAGCTTGAATGTTGTCATTTGTGGTATAAGGTATATATATAGAGAGAGACAATATACTACAGGCTTTGGCATCAGTTCTAGCAAAAAACACAATCTCTTTAAATTGTCTTCTTGTCCATAAAATGAGGTTGGGTCTACAGGCAGGCAGGTAGGAAACCGTGTAGTCCATGGTGCTGAGTTAGCCCAAGACTTGGTCAGGCAGCTGGAGATTGAAATCAGATAAGGTTAAGCAGATGCTTGGAAAGTAGAACAAGGAACCTTCACCAGCCTGGTAAAACGGGGAGGAAATTAGGTGTGGACCCAGTGTAGGACAGCTGAGGGTCAGCCCTGGAGACCACCTTTGGGCAGTTACTGACTCATCTCTTAGGATAACAGCGTAATAAAAATCCTTTCCTTCTTCTCCCCCGGCTTTCGTTATCTTTATAGCATTGCCACTTTCTGTTTCCAGAATATCCCTTATGTAACTCCCAACTCAAAAGCTGCATTCTCCAAGCAGATATGTAAGAGTTTTCCAGTTGAAATTAATTTCACCTTTCCCCATAATTTTTTAGACTTTGTACTTTAAACACATTAACATTTGCCTTGTAGCATAGATATTCACGTATGCCTCCCTCATTAAGTTACTAGCGCCAGAGTGTTAGGAGCCCACAGTGCTGACAGCAGTGTTTTATACACTGTGAACTCTCAGTCGGTGCCATTGAAATTCTTCATGTAAGACAGCTGTAATATTCAGTCCTTAATCCACTGACCTTTAGTCACGTGTGTGTCTACAAGCTTCCTGATCGTGCTTCAGCAGCCCTCATAAAATTACCAAATTTCTTATAAGGTATTGTAATAGTGAGGCACTTTAAAAACATTAGACAGACTTACATGTCTACAATCTTTATATAGAATCATTTTTTACAAGTGCCAAAAGTCTTTGCTGCTGTTTTGAAATAATCAAATATAATACATGTGAGCTAAAATAAAGTCAGAGTCAAAGGTGATAGCATGCATGTTTATGCTATTAGTCATCTGGCTCATGCTGATGTCTGATATGAGAGTGGGGTGCAAGTGGCAGAAAGCAGGGCTCCCCCCGGGGGCGACCAGACATCCTGGGCAGCCCTGGCAGCCTTTTCATGGTTTCAGTGGTCAGATTGCACCTTGTTTGTTGCTGAAACTTAAGACGCTTCATGGAAATACAATACTTGAGCATTTTACAGTCTTTTACAAATTCATTCCATGAATTTCTCTGATCAAAAGAAGTAACATTTCTATAGGACTCCACTAAAATAATACTAATTTGGAAATTCTTATTGTATATTCTCCATAGCTTGAAGCTGTTTAACTCTATGTTTTCTATGAACTTTTTTTCTAGACTGCTTCCAGAATACAGTATTTGGTTCCATTTATTTAATTTTACTCAAAGTCTTAGTTTGAATTAGCGTAAATAAAGGTATTTTCTCTAGAAAGAAAAATCAAGCAGTGGCATAATTACTTTGGCACATAAAAACAGTTAAGAGGAATCACCATTTTAGGGGATTTTCATTTCTTTCTTTCTAATCCTAAATCAGTGAAGTTAGTTTATGCAAACACCTCCAGTGAGCAGCTTGGCTCTGGGTGGGAAGTAAGTCTTAAGTTTATTGATATTCTATAAACAATGGGTTTGTCTCTGTTAAATGTCACTAGAGCTTCTAATTATTTTTAGAAGTCACACGCTGTGACTGACAAGCCAGAGTAGAGACACTTAGAACAACGCCGCTTTCATGTCAACAGCTCTCCAGTTACCCCACGGTGATGAGCATTTCATTCGACTTTCTGGAGATTGGTTCAATTATAAATAAGTGGAGCTGTCAGTAAATCATAGGTTTCTATGTTGTTTTTATTGAAAAGTCAGTTAAAAAAAAGTGAATACAGAGCAGAGATGTTTACTTCTCAATAAGTTGATTTTTTACATTTAATTGTTCAAATACAGATTTCTGTCTTTTACTCCCATCCCAGCCCACCCAATAAGTTGATTTTTGAAAAAAAAAATTTTCCCCACTCACTCCAGGACATGCTTATTGACTTTAAAGAGGGAAAGGGAGGGAGAGAAACACTGATTGACTCTCAGAGTGTGCCCCAACTGGGGACCAAACCTGCAATCCAGGCATGTGCCCTGACCAGGTATCGAACCTTTAGCCTTTTGGTTATGGATGATGCTTCAACAAACTGAGCCACATCGGCCAAGGCTGAAAGTGTTAACTAATATATTTCTGTCTTTAGGGATTTGATTAAAGTGCCAGTGAAGCACCCGCACATTCAGAAAGAAGAAGCATGTTCTCACTTAGAGTATGCAGGCTACTATTTCATTAGATTACAGTTGCCAGGGTAAACAGTTCTTGGTGAAGAAAGGTTTCCCCACCATCCATGTCGCTGAGGCTGCTCTGAGGTGACCTCTTTCACCCAGAGCTTCTAAATTACTAGAAGAAAGGGGGGCTAAATATATCTGCCATGCTTCTCCTTTCCCTCCTTTATTCAAATTGTAACTAAAATCAACTCTTCACCAACTTCATTTTATGTTTCATGTAGTGAAATGCTTAATAAATAGGCTGCCTGTCTTGATTTGGCTTTTTTTCCCTCCTCCAAGTGCTACGAACATGTAACTACCTTCATCTAGGGGGTATGTTTGGCAAATAAAAGGGCCTCAAAACTGATTGTTCAGGGACCCGTGATGACTCGTAGAGCATCAGCAGGTCTGGGTCGTCAAAGCTGTCTCTATTACTTGAGACAGTTGTCCGCTGAAAGACTTAGTTCCGGTTTATTCTTGTCTAGCAAGTGCTGAGACCCCACCTGGAAATTATTACTCTGCCTCCACTTCCAAAAAACATGAAAACTTTTAGAATCAGTTTACAAAAATGGGAACATTTATCTTGCTGGTCTTCTAATTCTTGATTTTTAAAAAAGAGGCAAAAAGTCCATCATAATACTGAAATTTAATCATCTGAAAATCTTTGACAGTATTATTTTAATTTATTTATTTTAATTGTTGTTCAAGTACAGTTTTCTGTCTTTTACTCCCATCCCAGCACCCCCCCTCCAGTGCTCCCCACCTCCCTCCCATTTCCACCCCCACCTTAGTTTTTGTCTATGTGTTCTTTATACTTGTTCCTGTGAATCCTTCCCCTTTTCCCCTGAAATTCCCTCCCTTCTCCCCTCTGGTCCCTGTCTGCCTGTTCTGTATTAAAGTGTCTTTGGTTATATTTTGCTTAATGTCTTTGTGAATACTGTCAAAGCAAAATTTGACAGTATTCACAAAGACATTAAGTACATTTTTCTGTTTTTAAGTAATTTTATCTGAAGAACAGGGGAAAATATTGAAAATATTGAAGCGCTATCTTCTTTCCCAAATACAGAAGGCTTTTCATGGGAATATGAGCAGAGCTGAAGTGATCATTTGAGAAAAGTTTAACTGGTAATCCCTCTAAAGTTAGTCTAGAGCATATATGTTCCTGATTTTGTTTTCAGATATCATTTGACCATTAAGTACCTTCAAGTAACTTGTTTTTAGTGGAAATTTTTGTCATACAGTGTTTCCAAAATTTCTCGTATTTAAAAATTATCTTATGGTCCTTTCAAGATGTCATCCAGGTTACACTGTCCCCGAGCCCGTGGGTAGTCTCACAGTGATGTGGAGGGGCACTCTTAGTGTCGCCACTTCCAGGAGTGGACACTGGCTGGGATAGTGCCCTGGAGTAAGTAAGCACCAGTAGTATCTTCCTTTTGCGGTGGAGCCCCCACTGCCATGAAGGGCAGTATTCATGCAGGGAGATGGAAATTGTGGAAGTCCCAGAGAAAACGCTCGTCAGATTGGCATGCAGTCTAATGAGGAGGCTTTCTGAAAGGTTCAGTGTCACTTTGACCATGTCCTCAAGAGCACGGATGCTGAACCAGTCCATGTTCCAAAAGGAGTGCTCAGTTCCATGGAGCACTGTGTCATTTCAAAACATTGAGCATCCTTTTGCCAAACTAGTGAATATTGAGGGCAAATTGAAAATTTGCATTTTCTAACACTTACTCTTTTGCCTAGATGATGGACCACCCAGACTACGCAACAAGTGAAGAAAACCCTGAGGCAGCCGGTGAGCAGATTCTCCCGCAGTAACAATATGTGGACCTGCCCTTCGTGTCGGCTGATTTTTTGCAGAGTGTTTGACATTTTAAATGGACTTATGAATTGACAATCTGAAAGGATCTCCAGTGACATACTTGCAAATACACATTTTTAAGAGCTGGTACTGACAATTATAAGTAATTAAAATGCATTTGCTTTTAACTATGTTAAAGTTGTGCCTTCACATTAAATAAAAGGATATGCTCTGTATAACTTTCAATATTATATACAGTATATTTTTTTAGAAAAAGTATTGATTCATCCCTGTATTTTTCTTACTGAAATCAACTTCTTTTCAACTCGAGTGATAAAGTATTTCTGTCCAAGTGAGTTTCTGAACAGATTTTACTGAAAAGAATTATGCAAATTTTATCTTCTATAGACATAAATATTTAAGATTATGCAAGAACAAAGTTCAATGATGAAATTTTGGACTTTTATCACTGCAAAGGTTAGAAAAATATAATTTGGGAATATATATAAGGGCATATTTTTATAGCATAAGTTTAAAAATGTTTTTTTTAAACTTAAGAACCTAAATTGCTTCAAATTGCTATGTATTATGTTAGAATATTTTTCCAGGTAGAGAGAAACATAATATATAGAACTAGTCATTAAAAGGACACAAAAACTGACATCCTCAGTTTTCAGTGGTCTGTTTTTTTTCTTAAAGGTATATCTTAAATTTCTGTATTAACATTCAGTTTCACTGTAGAATCTCTGATCTCTGAAGTTTGGTTCTGTTGCTCTTGCGGCTTGGTATTTAGTAGAAAATTATATACTGAGACATATCATTCATTGTTTGAGTGTAACACCCCTAACAGTCCTCTTGGCCACCATCTTGATTCCTACTCCTTTCTTTGAAGGAAACCACTGTTAACCTTTTAATATTTGGGTGGATAACGGAATACCAGTATACCAGGTGTGCTTCAGAGGAAAGCATTAGAGACCAAAGACAAGGGACTGGGCATTGGTGTCAATTAAATTATATTACCAGAGTGTGAGTAAATGGTCTTAGCGCAAGACACTGGTGTCTCAGTTTTCTCATCTGTAAAATGAGTGGGTTAGACAAACAGTTTCAATCTTCTCCATCTCACGGCACACAGAAACTAACTACTGAAATTCCGCAGCACACCAAAAAATATATTTGCTGCCGATCTGACAAAAAAATAGGTCTAGTTTTGATTCACTCACACTAGACAGCGATTTTGTGTTGGTTGTTGTCATTTTGTACTTTGACAATGTAAGGGAAAAGAGGTCAGTGCCCCTGACTAAATGGTCAGTATTGCATGTTTTTAAAATCCTGGCAGACCAGTGTACCTCTTGCAACATACTGGTTGGAAATCAATGGGTTAAACCAGTTAAATACTGGTACCTTCCAACTTGAAAAAAGTCTTTCTCATTCTTTGCTAAATCTCAGATGTGACCTTGAACATTCTCCTAAGAGTCAAAGGTCAAATTACCTTTTCATTTTCTTTTACTTTCTCTAAGAAATTTCCAAATGACAAGTAATTGCAAAAGCAGCAGATTTCTGTATTCTCTGTAAGTAATATTCAGGATATGTGAACAACTGTATGTTGTCATTCTAAGGCCAGTTCAAGTGATTAAAAGATAAAGGTATTTATTGCCTTTTAAAATGGATCAGAGCTTTGGTATTTAAACTAAATTTACCATTTGAGGGAGTTAGACGCTTTTCTTTAATGGTTAACTTGCTAAGTAAATTGTAGATAGAGAAGCTCCCCCCCCACACACAGCCCTCTTTCCACTTAGCACACCGTGGATCAGTTGGTAAGTGACAAGTAAGTATTTGACAAGTGAAGGTTAATCTTAATTTTGTCTCCTGAATATCAAGTTTGAATTTTTTCCCAAAGAATCTAATTTATTTGGCAGACTCTGATAGAACAGATTAAGTGCCATTTTAAAGATCCAACTATATTTTCATTTATAAGATCAATAAAATGTTTGCCAAAAGATAGCCTTTTTAGTAAAATGATCTGCATTCCCATCCTAGCTTTTCGATACTTAAAAGCCTCAATGACAGTTTATGAAGAATGTTAAAGAAAATTTTACAAATAGAAACCTGAAATTTTGATTCTCTACTTTATCCAACCATTAGTTACCAAGGAGGTAAAACCTCGTTCTAGTTTACTATTAAAATCTTATTGATTGGATGCAAATAAACAATGAAATTACTTAAGTTTCTCCATCCTCAGTGTCAATTTTACATTGTACTTAAATAATTCTTCTACCAACCCAGCTGAAAATGCTTAGAGAAATTACAGTGAAGTACTGTAAAAAGAAATGTTTTATTTGGGAATCAAAGGAAAGGAAAGGGGAGATGGAAATTTGGCTTTAAAAGGCTGTATCATTTCTTCCTCTCCTGCTTGCCCACCACCAGTAACTTTAAGGAGAAGAGAAGTTGTTTTATTCCTAAATATGTCTTAAAAACATATTTAAAAACAAAAATAAGATGTATTATTACTTACTGAAAAATGACTACTTAGAAATTCTCTGAACATTTTTGTATCTTATGAGAGAGGAATCACTAAAGATCTCAAATTGCAATGTAGACAGTATTTTTATTTCAGTTTAGTTCAGCAAAGCTAAGAGGTTTGTAAGGAAATACCTTGCTCTCCTAATACATTTTCTTCTAGCTTGTATTTCTTTTTTAGATTAGCAACACCTTATTAGTAGAATCCATGATTTATTTCTCTCTTGAAGAAAATTTTAACCCATCCACTGTTGGCTTTCATGAAATTTTAGTGTCCATAGAGATTTTGGTGAAATGGTACATTTTATAGTAAAAATAAATGAGCTTTCTAGTTTTTTTTTGTTCTTTCAATGTTCTTAGATATAAGCAAAAATTATGTTTATAGTAGACTAAAAAATGTTTCAACTAATTTATTTAAGCTTTGTCTCTGAAATTTTAGGCTGATCTCAACCAATGAGATTCAAAAACAAAGATTGCATTTCAGAATGGTGCGATGTACTAGTTTGAAAGGCTGCGTATTTTCCCATTAACAAGGAAAAGAACTGAATTTATTCAAGGTGATGACAAATAAATACTACAGTTTAAAATTTTTATTTTCAGTGATCTATTTATCACTAGAGTATAATTCCAAACAGGTTGGGATGAGTGACACAAATAAAATTAAAATACTGATTATAAATCACATTATGTTTCCTGAAAGAAAAATATTTTGTAAATTCAGGAGCTCTGAATCGAATTACTCAGCCTTTTGGAATTTGAAGTAAATTGCGTAGTACCCATGGTTTGGATTACTGAGCTTTCAGAGTGGACGAAATATCCGACAGTAATGCACAGGCCATATTGTGTTGGAGACCATGTTTGTGAACTTGCCTGTTTGAAGTTTCTGTACTTAAGGGCAGCTTTTGTATTTACAAAAATGATCATTGGGGAAAAAATAATTTCTTAAATTAAAATTTTAGAATAGTCTTGTATTAATGGCAGTTAAGGGGCAACAAAAAATATCAAATACTTAATGTAATCAAGTACTTCTTTAATTATGCATGAAAACTTGTAAACAACATTGCTTTGGAATATGGATTTTTAAAATAAATATCCAAAGTTTATATGGTTGGTTTACAGGATTTCCTAGTAGAAAAAGTCCATTTAAATTTGGTGGTTTATACCTTCTGTTGTATTTTGTTTAAATGAGAACCTTTTTAAAAATACATGATTGAATTTTTACTTCTTAGATAATTGATTTGAGTGTGGAGTTCTTTCTTTAACTCTTTGATATGTAAGTTAGTATAAATTAATACTTTATAATATTATTAGGCTTTTTTTATGGAACATGATTTAAAATTTAAAAAATTTTGGAGTATAAATCTAGCAGTGCTTTAAAGCTCTTCAATATGTGCCAACGTTGACAAGAAAAAAGTTTTTTAATGTATTAAATTCATTATGGTATGCAATAAATTCTATTTTGAAATAAAATTTGAACTTGTTTATTTTAAATGGTGAAAATAATTGAAAATTAACTAAAAATACACTAGGTCATTGTGTTCACATAAGGTACAAATGGTAATAATTGCTTACAAAATTGTATGGTTATTTAAGTCTAGCAAATTATCCCTAAAACCTAGATTCCATAAGTGTCATTTCCTGGAAATGTATGTTTATACACAATAGCCCTTAATAAATATTTACTGAATTAATGTATAGACAGTTTTACTGAGAAATGAGCAGACCTCTTACAATGAACATTCCTGGCATTTTTAACTTTGCCGTGTTGTTCCTACAAATTGCTATGATCGTACTGCCATCGTACTTCTTTTTAATTCAGATGTGGTTGCCCCAGATAGGTTTCCATAGTGTGTTTGTCTTGCCCTCATGTTAAGGAAGTCCTCTTGCCCCGATGCCTGCTGCGGAGGAAGCTCGTTTCATCCGACAGGCCTGTATATCTAGGAAGATGCATAAGGAACTGGGAAGAGGGGCTGTCTGTAGGAAAAGAGGGTGGGATGGTGGCTATGGCACAGAGGTAAGAAGGAAACATTTTTCACTGTATACTCTTGTACTGTTTGCATTTTCCATCATATGCTTCTATTACGATTCAAAATACAAATTATAAAAAGCTATTGAATTTTTTTCCTCATAACAGGTAAACATACTGACAGATGGTTAAGTAGTAAATCATTTGTATCATTTTTCCTTACAATCTCCTGGAGTGGTATGGTTGAGGAAAGTGTGGAGAGTCTCGTCACTCTACATGCAAATATTCGCTCGAACATCATTTTTACTGTGTTACCCATTCATGCCCTCCGTGGTGACTGGTATCCTCCAGGCCACCTACCTCGTTTTATTCTTTACAGAGAACAAGCCTCCAGTTTTCTGCCAGAGTCAAGGAGGGGCAGTTTGCCCAGCTCCATGAAGTACCAGAGGAATCTTTGGCTCTGCATGAATGATAGAATTAGAAAATAACTATTTTAGGGTGATCCAAGATGGTGGCAGAGTTAGAAGCTACACTAACCTCTCAGGACCAAAACTGGAATTACAACTAAATTTAGAAAAATCCTAAATAACCAATTGAACACTATCGAGAAGCCTTATACAAGAACAGGTGGAAGAAAGCGCATCACCACAAGGAGGCTGGTAGGAAGTGCAGAGGAACAAGGGGGCTGGCTGGCCTCCCACAGGCAGCATGTGAAGTCACGGAGGGATATTTCAGCAGCCAAGGGTGTTCCTACCGAGAAGTGTGGGGTCTAAGCCCCGAGCTGGGCTCTCCAGCCTAGAGCACCAGAACCAGGAAGGGATCTTAGATAACAGCCAGCTGTGAAAAGCAGCAGAGTTTCTGTCTGCCAGGGAGAAATGGCTTCAGTTGCAGAGAGCCTCTTTCAGGGCCAACACACAAGATTTCAGTTGCAGCCACTTACCCTGGGCTCTGATGGAGAAAGGACAGGCAGACTAGAGCCATGTGAGGAGAGTTGGGGATTGGTGGCTCTGGGAGGAGAGCTGAAGGGTCATCTGCCAGGATCCCTGTGCTGAATCATTCCCCATACTGCAGAGGTCATCTTCCTCAGGCAGAGCTCTCCCCTCCATGCACCACCGGCCTGGGGGGAGCAATAGCCCCACCTGCAGGAATCCTCACCCCACCCTGTGGAGCTTATGCCAGC